CTTGTTACCTGAGTCGTGCCAGTCTCATCAGTGGTTGAGGTGCCATCAGTTTTCCCAGTTGTTACCTCAGTTGTACCAGATTTATCATTTGTGGATGTGCCATCAGTGGGTTGACTTGTTACAGCTGACTGAGTGGTTGTAATGGAGTCAGTGGAAGAAGTTGCATCAGTGTGCTCAGTGGATAAGGTTGGGACCTTCGTCCCATTTTGGTGAGACAGTGCTGTGGGATTAGTGGAATTAATTAGTGGACTTTTCATCTCGGTGTTATCGGATTGATGGGTTGTGTGGGCGAATTCAGTTGGCCCGTTTGTTACCTCACTTGTTCCAGTTTGATTAGTTGTGTGTCTTACATCATATTGCAAAAGTGTTACCCCGGTTTTAGGAGCTTTCAATAGTTCACGAGTCGTATCATTTTGGTATCTTGGTAAAGATGTGTGATTGGACTCATTTACTGATGATTTATTTAATGCAGTGTTATCTTTGTAGATAGTTGTTAACAATAAATTACTTATCTTTGTGATTGGGTTGAAATCAGAAATGGTATTAGTTAAAACTGTGAATATCGATGTTGTGTTTGGAATGATGCTAGTTTCTGAATTTGTATCATCTTGGATTTTCTTCGAGGCTTTCTGTAGAGATGGATCAGTTGGATCTTCTTTGTTGTGAGATACGTCAGTCAAAAATCTTGGATTAGCGTTTGGCCATTTATCTTCACCTGCAACATGATTTAACACACACACAAAAAATATATAAATAATATAAAATGGCATACATGCACAAAGAATGTACTTTTCCCAGAGTTCATGCATACATAATATATTGTTGAGTTTTTGATTTGTAATTCTGGTGTAAAGCAGTGTTGTATTTGTGTTTCACCGTATTTCTTCTCTATCTTCTATTAAAGTTGTATTTCACAAAAGTTGGAATGAAGTGCTTCCTATTTCTGAATCTGTAGTTGTAAGAATGTAGTGCTGATCGACATGTGGCTTAGATTATTCTGAATGTTTTCTTTGATTTATCCACTTTACTGCTTATTGCTGCTCATATTCAGACCTGGTAAAGAGGTACATTGATGTCCTCTGACACTGATGGAATCACCAGCTGCTTCTTTTACCTGCCTCATTAAGATATCCTGTGTATGAGACTTTTTTTATACAGTATTCTTAGTTCTTTTCTTTGATTTACCCTTCTTTAAAACAACAAAAGTCACAATAAATATAAAACCTACATAATTGTCATAGTTAACTGAAACTGATTTATTTGATTAATACACTTTCATTTTACTAACTACCGAACTCTTGCAAAAACTATGTAACATCTAAGACCTTCAGCATGCTAGCTTGGAACTATGCCTACCACTAACATTAGCTAATTAGAATATTTGCATTTTCTAAAGAAAATGTGTGTGAGAGCTGGTAGCCACTGCTTTTGCTTCCAGTTGGGGCTGATGTCAGCTCCAAGCTGCTGCTAACAGCATTTTTTAAAAATCTGTTAGAGCCACCGACAGATGATATTGTATGAAATGCTACAGACTTGTTCAGCATCCCCATCCGTACAACTTTGCTGAGTTTGGTCACTATCGAATATTATATTAAAACAAAGAGCAGTTATTAAGTAGTATGTTGGTGTTTTACTAATGGCCACAAGGTGAGGCTATTGATGCAATTGTTAAACGTGTCATGCATGAGGAGAATTTACAGAGTTTTATTTTATTTAAGTCAAGAGAATTGTAAAAGATGTGTTTCAATGTTACTGTAGTGGCCTTCAGTTTGTAGAACTGTATGAAATTTTACACAATTGTGCAATGTGGCTGTATAAATAACATCCCCAAATTTGGCTGCAATCCAATCAAGCATGGAAGAGTTGTGGCTTGTTTAGTGCATTAGGCCACACCTTCAAAGGTCTGGTAACCAATTGCGCACATACGATAAGTGATACCCAAATCAAACGTATGACTTTTGTTCGGGGTCACCTAATATGGTATGTATCAGGTTGATGAAGATTAGATGTAATATGTGCCAAATAATCAAAAAAGTCAAATTCCCATCACCTAAGGATCACAATATTCAATTTATGGTTCATCAGTTACTCTTATGAACATTAAACAATTAAGGATTCACCACATGGTGGCGCTATTGGTACCATGTTTAAATATGTTAAGCATTTCAAGTCCATGAAGTATGAATATGTAACCCTACATTCTTGTTCAGTAGTGTTCTGCAGTCCTTCTGACTTATGGGTGATGAGCAGGCTACAGTTTCTCTTGTTTTATCTTCTTTAATTTACACCAAAATACAGCAAGACTGCATTTCATCCAGCTTCTCTCTAACTAAACTGCAGAACATGTTACCCCGACTCTGCTACTCCAACACCTGTCCTCTGCAAACCAATGGTAGGTAGGCACTTACTCTCAGTTGAGGCTAAGGGTACATAAAATAGCAACTTAAATATATATATATAAAATAACGTTTCAAGTGCCATGAATGACAAAGGAATAATAACTGAATGTAATGATACAAATTTATTCTATGAGTCCAAAATAACATAAAATTATTCCTGCTAAAATATTCATATTCCCACAGGACTCTGTAACAACACAAATACTTTAGCAAATGCAGTTCTTAAGATTTCAGATTTCATACAACATGACAAATGGTACAGAATGATTGATTGAAACATCCAAAAACTAAATAAATAATAATGATATGATTATTGATATGGTGATGATATGATATGATTAATGGTATGATTCTTACTAACAGTTAATATATTCAGATTTGTAGACTGTTGTATGGAGGAGGAATATAGACCACATAAAATTCTGCTATGGTAAACATAGATACATGACTTATTATCTATTATGTTAACATGCATTTACAATGCATTGTGTATCTTAACTCTTCATATACCACTGCTTTCTCCGTGGACCTACACATCAATATATAACGCACTTGGTACCCTTTTGTGTCAGTTTTGGATGTTCTGGGACAGCATGTTAATTTTTGATTGTTACATGCATACAGTTTCTTCAAATAAACTTAAAATGTACGCAAAACACCTGGGGCTGTATTCACAAAGCTTTCTAGTGCTAAGAGTTGCTCCTAGTGACGACATAAGAAAATTCTTAGAATTGTGACGTTTTCTGAGAATTTCCCCTTAAAGTTAAGACTAGGTCCTTGTAAAGATAAAAGTTATTCACAAAGCATTTTAGACCTTAAAAGAGCTCCTAAGAGCTCCTGAAAAACTGTTCGGAGCAGGGAGGAGGACTTTTAAGAGGCTTAAAAGTTTCCTAAGCAGAGGAGAAAATGGTGGAAACACAAAGAGGTTGGACAAATGGTCTCTAAACACAAAATGACAGTTAGTAAATGAAATGCTACAGATGAGATTGTGCAGGGATAATGTTTGTGGTCGATCTCATTTGGGATTTGCACACATTTCCCACCTAACACAATAACTCTATAACGCCAGAAATAAGATTATCACAATACTAAGATATTTGAAAAAATGGAAAAATGCAACAGTGGTGACTTTTGTCTGTCTCAACCTTCCATCAGCAGAGTGATCACACTAACAATGATAACACTGTCAAACTCATATTGTGATGCAGCTCATTTCATTTCCACTGGGTGTCCACACCTTGCACGATCAGAAAAGGGCATGTCTGTGACAACCAGTCACATCTGTTAAAAGAAAGCACCCCACCTAGCAACAGGGTCAACCACACCTCCACAGTAAGGTAAAAGTTTCTGTCCCTTACTTTCTTAAATCACTCTTAAGTTAGGACTCCTTACTAAAAGTTTTTAGTTTAAATTAGGAGCTCTCTGAGAGTACTCTCAGAATGTTTGTGAATATGACCCCTGATTTTTAGGTTTAGTCCTAAAGGTTTAGTGGTCAGAGGTCAAAGGTCAAGGTCAGTATAACCTCACAAAATATGTTTTTGGCCATAACTCAAGAATTCATATCCCAATTATGACAAAACACACAAATGAATGAAGTAATGAAAAATTCTAGTTTTCTGTTAAATTTAGAATATAATTTGATTCAGTATACACCACACTGCTTCTGATTGTATTCATCCACATCATATTATTCAAGAGGACAAAAGTAAACAGAGGCAGTGCAACTGCAGACTGTTGATTGCTGATTCAAAAAACATACACCTCAACCTTACCCTCAGCCTGAAACCAACTTGGCAGCAAACTCTGAGACCAAAGTTTCTCCCACAAAGGTAATTATGTCCAATTTTAAATGTGCCATGGAAACAGGCAGCAGTAAACAGGCAGTGGTAAATTACCAGAGGGCTTGCTGAGATAAGATTGTTTTCCCCACTGATGACCAGGGATGCTGACTGTACAGTCTTGCCCAGCAGGTTCTAAACTCTCCAAAAACCTCTTTTCAAGTAGGCATAATTTGATTTTTGTACCACAAATGTAAATGGTTATTCTCTCACCTGACAAAATCTTAAAACTTTATTTGATGATTCAGGAACAGAAGTAAAGCAAAGTTGAAGTTACTAAGTTTTAAGTTAGGAAATGGACAATCTACACCCCAAGGATGAAGGTCAAAATAAATATTCTGTCATGGCACTACCAGCCACACAACCACCAATACGACATGCATATACTGTATGTACACAGACGCTCAATTAATAATTTAAGATTTATTCCAGTCTATTTTAATCATTTTAGTAAAAAATAATATAGGCCCATTCTGAGTCACTGAATGCAGTTATATGGACATGAGACACGTTAATAAGACTTATCCCGGTTCTGATCATATTTAGGATATGGTGTTCACGTGAGCACAAAGAAATCAGGTTATTCATATTCCCTGTATACATCCCAGTACTCCAGCTAGCATTTTTAGGTTTCTCAAAAATGGAATATGGTATTTACATGTTCAAACACATAAGACACTCCAAAATCCTGATCATAAATGGGTTATTTATGTCCATGTAGCTATACTCACTGTTACCCCTTTTCTACCAACATGGAACTGGTTTCGTTCAGGTTTCCACACCTAACTTTGAACCACTGAGAGCATTTCGACCAAAAATAAATTGGTCCAGAACCCAGTTAACAACAAGGAGTTAAAACTCTTCTGCAGCTTTAATCATGTTACTAATGTTAACCATTAACTTATTTACTGACTCCTCTTCATCCCCTGTGGGACAAAAGGCTCCAGTGA